AAAATATACTTTATTATAGTGTTTTGGAAAGCTCTTGAGGTAAGCTATAAGAATATGCATTTAAAAAAAGGGTTTCCCTTTAAAAATTTCATGGTGATCTTTACGTGACCTTGAGGAAGCTGTTCAAGGTCATATTGATATTACTATGTAATGCATTACTTAAAACCGTACAACTTTGATGTTTAACATTTTTTCCATCTTACATATTTAAAAAGTTATTTAGAGGTACCTTATAAGGATACATACAGACCCAATCAACAAAATGATGTTTAAAAAATATTTTTTTAAATGTTTGAAAAACATTTTTTGAAATATTAAAAGAAACATTTAAATAATGGGATAAGTCCCCTTTTTCTCATACATAAAATATTTATTTTACATTTTAAAAAATATTTTTTTATTACTTAATAAACATTAATTTTAATATTTACACGAGTAGATTTTTATTATTAAATAAACATTTATTTAACGTTTAATCACGTTTTTTAAATATTTACTGAACATTTGCTTAATGTTTAAAGAAATGTTTGGTAAATGTTCACTTTAGGGGAGTCAGCTCCGATGACCTTGACCTTGACATATGTTGTCAAGGTTACCCTCCTGAGTAACGCTCAGAAGGTTTTAGCCGTCGCTCGTTGTTTGTTAAAAAGTTATTTAAAAAACAATGTCAACCAATTATATGTAATTTTCAGACACAAATATTAAAAATTTTGAAAAATGTTTTAAACAAAAGTTGTAGATCTCTTTGAAATATGCATTTTACGTCCTATTTATTTTTACTGTACGAGTGATAGTTTTCGAGAAAAATGATGGACTTAAACACGTAAGTTGCAAGCGCGTTTAGCACGGCGCGCTGCGCGCGCCCCACCCCCTCCCTCTCTCTCTCTCTCTCTTTTCGAAACACCCACCGCCGGACCCTAGAATTCCCGCGGCTATCCGTTGCCCAAATTCACAGAATCGAACGGTCACAAACTAACAAAAAATCTTTTTAAAACATTATTACAAATATAATAAATAAATAATGCAAATGTACAAATTATATTAAACATATCATAAATAAAGGTTAAAAAAATTTTTTTAATTACTTTTTAGTATAAATATTTAATGTAAAATAAATGTTTAATGAATATTAAATAAATATTGCTTATAACATTTTCACAAACGAATGTACAAATATTAAAATAATAGATAAGTAACATTACAAACATATTTTTTCTAACTTGCTTTTAAATAAATAATTAATATAAAATAAACGTTTAATAAATGTTAAATAAATGTTGTTTACAATATTGTTGCAAACAAATAATTAATAATTGTGAGCAAATCATGTACAAATACTAAATACATAATAAATAAAGATTGCAAAAATATTATTTTTAAGTATATATTTTTTAAAAGACATACTTTTTAAATATATATTTTTAATGTAAAATAAATATTTAATAAATTTTAAATAAATGATAAATAAACATTTAAAATATTTTTGTTAAATTACAATTTTAAATTAATATTTAATGAAAATAAAATATTTAATAAACATTTAATTAATATTTTTATTAAAATCAATTGAACAATATAAAATTAATGAAAATAAAATATTTAATAAATGTTTAAAAAATAATGGGTGCTGATTGGGGACATATCATACATACATACAATACATACATACATACATACCGACATTTTTTTCTAAATGTGATATTTGGATGTTTTGCAACATTCTACACATGTTTTCAAAGAAAACTGGATAAAAAATTTTTTCACGAAAACAAAGCTTCCTCTATGAGGAAGCAAAAGTAATACCCTCTTAAGGGGGGAGGGTCAAGTAACGGTCATTTTTTCATATTTTTTTTATTGCTTAGAAAATTCATTTAACATCTGGAGAATATGTTCCCAAAGCCGTGAGTTGAAATTCGAAGTCTAAATGTCCCTAAGGAGTCATTAAAGTGACGCGCTCCAAACGACGCCGAGCGCAGGTATATATACATATGACCGCGCACGTGAACGATTTACCTTTCGGTCCCTTGGCCAAATAGACTTGCTATTTTGACACTAGAAGGTACTACTGACGAGAGAAACCAATTTGTGCTTGTGCAACGGCTGTTTTTGAAAAAGTAACGTCCCCAAGCCAACCGTATGGCGCTTGACCCCCAAGCATCTAAACTGCGGCTCGAAAATTATACAAATTGCCGCTTATTTGGCCGGAGGCATGTTCAACGATGGCTATACATTCACGTTAGAAGTTATGAATGATATGTAACTGCAAATCGGTCTGCATTGCAAACAATTCGCTGACGAATGCGACAAACACCGCGTGGACAGGCAGAACCGCCGCACCCAAAGCACATCAAAAAAGGCCAGGACAGCTAAAAAAACAGGAACTAGCGGCTAAAATAGATGAGTTTGCAGAGGAGGAAGGCTTATTATACGGCCCTGGCATCGTAGACTAAGCTTACATTAGCCGTAAATCCCCTACACTACTTTTCTCTACCGAAAACTTTAAACGCGTTTTTCTCAAAACGCAAAATTTTGAGCGCCGGGGAATGTAGCTCAGTGAATTTTCAACCAATCGATATGTCCTTGTAGATACATGTACTTTAACATCTTCTCCTCAGCATGAACCTAACGGTTTGTGAAAATTTTTGCAATATAAACAATAGTTTTTGCAATTGATTATAAGAAAACCAACTCGGTTTTTAAAATTGTTATTAGTTTTTCATTTTTTGAATTTTTTTTTCTTTAGGTTCATGCTGAGCGTTTTTTCATTTTGTGAAATTTTCCCCGAATTTTGATTTCGGATGATTAGAACGGTCTCTGCGATCCCCGGCGCGTTCGTGAAGAGGCAACTTCAACCAGCTACTGCTCGACGAATTTTCATTATTTTTACATTAAAAAATTCCTGTGTGTAGTTTAAATACTATATAAAAGCATGCACTAATTTTCAAAACAATCGATTTATTATTCTCTTAAAAAAAATCGCAAAATTTAGGTCCTTTACTTGACCCTCTCCCCTTAAAGCACTAACTTTACCCACTTTAAGTTAAAACTTAAGTAAGCTATTTCGAAGTTATCCAGCTTTTTATGGTGAGATGTCTAACTCACGAAGGCGAGATCGCCAATTGTCCAGCCAAATGGGGCAAGACTGTCCAGTCAACATGCCTCAGTAGTCGAATTGGTGAGACGTCCGCATAATATGAGGTAATATATTTTCACAATAAATTTTCTCTAATTAGAATTACCAGTTGCGTCATTTCCTACATTGGTAAATTATTTTAAGCCGAAAGTTTAATCATATATCGAAATCTGCATATCACAAACAGATATTAATTTTGATCTTTATTACTGATTTTTGTTCTTTAGGTTTTGTAAACAATATAAGAGAACCGCCAATGTGAGTCACAAGGCAAGATGTAGGTAGCCCAACTTGTAAATCTTAAATCCTGAAAATCGTGAATCTATATACCGTTTCTTACCACATTAGTTCTACGCGCCAATTTCTCTTTTGGACATAACGCAGATTATCTTATATGTGGAATTATTATCGTCAGCAGATTCACGTATTCGTACATTTGAAAAATAATTATTGAATCGAATACGTGAATCTGCTGACGATAATCATTCCAAATATAAGATAATCTGCGTTATGTCCGAAAAAGAAATCGGCTACGTAGAACTAATGTGGTAAGAAACGGTATATAGATTCACGATTTTCAAGATTTAAGATTTACAAGTTGGGCTACCTACATCTTGCCTTGTAACCCACATTGGCGGTTCTCTTATATTGTTTAGTTTTAGATAGGGGTCTTACTTGAAAATTTATTATTCTTTAAGTTTTGTGTTTTATGTTATTTTCTTGCTTTCTTTGTTACCGTTTATCCTACATTTTAATAAAATACATATAATCATTCTACATTGTGCAAATTTTCATTAAATGTTCAATAAGTCTTGATCATACGTTTCTCGCACGGCGAGAAGCGACGTGCGAAGACGTAATAAAATTTTGGTAACGAGAGCGACTTTTCTCTTATCACATCTACTATTTTTCCCCGTTGTCCTCAGGTGTTAAAGAAGAAGAAGAAGAAGAAGTCTCAGGAATGATGAATCGGGATCAGCATACCACATATCTTACGTCATATCGCGAGAGAATGAGATGTAGAACATAGCAAATAGTAACCGTTAAGTCAGCTGTTGTTAATCCCGCGTCAAGGTTCCTGGCGCCCGTTTGCGCGAGTCCTTATCAAATTGTCAACAATGTGCATAACACAAAACCGACGAGAAATAGTCGCGTAATTAATGGGATTTCCACGCGGAAATTTTTACAGCAAGCTTTTAGGGATAGACGCACACGGCGATGATAAGATTACGCGCGGTTGACGCGGGACCACCCAAGAGATCAGGTGTTGTAACACGCGGTCGCGAAAGCCACGAGAGTAGTCGCTTCGGACTCCTCAGTCTCTCGCTCTCGTATCTCATCGATGCAAGAAGGATGTCCGACGAGGAGTGCCCACCGATTTCAATCTCGGAACGAAAGCCACCCTTCACGCTGGCGAAATACGTACCGGTGCTCGGGTGGCTACCGCGATATACCCGGTTAAAGGCCGTGTCGGATCTTATAGCGGGCATCACTGTGGGTCTGACTATGATCCCTCAGAGTATGGCCTATGCGGTATTGGCTGAACGGATTCCGCAGGTATTATATTGTAGCTCGTTCTCCTCACTAACTGTAAAGATGAGAAGACTTATGTATATATATATATACATAAGTATATACATATATATATGTTTCTTTAAATTAAAATCTGTGATTTTTGAGTTTTAAACAATGCACCCTTGAACCCACTTTCTTAAATGTTAGACTGTTCTACGATCTTTAATACTATTGTATTTATATGTATATTATTGATACTATGATGTGTAGCTTTCTGTGTTGTTAAACATACCACATGACAAGTGATGCTTGCAGTATGGTCTGTACTCTTGTTTCGTCGGCGGTTTTCTGTACGTTATCTTTGGAACCACCAAGGAGGTCTCGATTGGTCCATCATCCTTGATGGCTCTTCTGACGCTGCAATACACGCGAGACATGCCGCAGGATTTCGTAATACTCTTGTGTTTTCTGGCTGGATGCGTAGAATTTTTAATGGGCGTGTTAAATCTAGGCTTGTATTACAAAATTATCTACTTTATTAACTTTCCGTTGTCTTCGCCTTACTTTTTGCTATTTATTATCTCTTCTAGTGCATTATTTACAACTAAGTGCATCGGTACAACATTGATCAACGCAATTCTTATTGTAGGCTTCCTGGTGGACTTCATATCGGTCCCGGTAACGTCGGGTTTCATGTCGGCCGGGGCGCTTATTATAATAATCGCTCAGCTACAAGGTCTTTTAGGATTGAAGCATAAATCGGAAAATATCGCTGACAATCTGTACAAAATAGTTCAGAATATTAATAACGCTCGGCCGGCCGATTTCACACTCGGAATTTTCAGCATCGCGTTTCTCCTGATCTTCAGAGTGAGTGCTGGGATTACATACGGACAATTTGTAACAGTCCAAGATAACTATAGAAATATTATATAGACGCTATCTCTAGAAACTGGAAAATTGTCCTTGTGCGAAAGGCAAACGAGACGCTCCCGGAAATGCAACGATAAAAAAAGTATTTTGGTACTTGTCCATTGGTAGAAACGCTCTCGTTGTACTTATAACAGCCACGATAGCGTATCAATTCGAAGCGTACACGGGATCCGTTCCATTCAGACTCTCAGGTATGGATTTGTAATTTTTTTTATTGATAATAAAACGATACAATTTTTTTAAGTGATGCTTATCATAAAGTTGAAACACAAAATGATCTGCATTTAATAGTCGTAAGATAATTAAAATCTGACAATTTAAATATTTAAAAAACATTTCAGCCATTATTCTCTCATTAATTAATTACAGTTACACTAAACGATTTCACGTACCCAAGGAGCGCTAATGCGCGTGTAATATGTTTTAAATGTACATTTAAATTCACATTTAGTACACGTATTTGTCCTGCATTAAAGGGTCTTGCTAGTGTGACAGGGCCTAAAGTAGGGTGATTTTTGCGAATTTTTATAAGGAAAACGACTAAACCAATTGGTTTACAACTTTTCCTATATGTTGTACTATATTTTAAGAATGCTTAAAATATTTTAATTTATAATTTGTTATTAGGTCTGTAGCAGCCACCCTGCCGGAACGCCTCGAAAAAAGACGGTGACCATGATTACCGCCTTTATAGTCGTCTGAAAAAAAAATCAAAGGAATTCTTAATCTGCAAGAGTGTGTATCGTTCGAACTAAAACTTTTTATGCGTTTAGAAATAAAAATTTTACACTTAAAAATAGACATTGTGTTTTTGCTAAAAATAAAAGCAAAATTATAATAGCTATAATTTTTTAATTTTAAATATTTTTTCAAGATTTTAATTCAGACAGTAGCCACACTCTTGTAGATTAAGAATTTATTTTTTTGTTTCAAACTATAACGGCTGTATGCACCACCTTTTTTCGAGGCACTCCGGCTGAATGGCTGCCACAGACCTAATAACAAATATAAATATAAATATAAATTTAAATTTAAAGAGGCCAATTAGATTCACGAGCAATGTTGGTTTTACAAGGTTTATAATAGTTAACGTGCTATCATATTAGTCCTAACATTAAAGCAGTAACTAATCTAACGATATGTATAACGAACGTTTCGACATAACTTTGTCTTCTTCAGCGTTTGTTTGTATCACTATAATAAGACAATTAAATATTACATGTCAATATATGGTCTGTGTAATTATAAAATCTTTGGCGTCTAGAATTATGATGATTTTTATGTGTTATCGCTTATTTACATAAAAGTCTTACATCAATCATCATATACATATCGTTAGATTAGTTACTGTTTTAAATGTTAAGACTAATATAATAGCACATTAACTATTAAAAACCTTGTAAAACCAACATTGCTCGTGAATATAATTGGCCTATTTAAATTTAAATTTATAAAACTGATACGAGCCTAGTATTATTATTTATAAATATAAATATTTTAAGCACTCTTGAAATATAGCACAACATATAAGAAAAGTGGTAAACCAATTGATTTGGTCGTTTTGTTTGTACAAATTCGCAAAAATCACCCTACTTTAGGCCCTGTCACACTAGTACAATTGTGGCAGCACATTCCAAAAAACTGTACCATTAACCGCCTATGCATGATTTTTCATGCATAAGTATGCTTAAATATAGAGAATTATATAAAATTATAGATCTGAAATATTCTCAAACATATTAAATACGCGCAATTAATGTTGTTTTGAAGCCAATACAATAAAACGCACATTAAAAGCACGTTCTATGTGCATTGGCACTTCTTGGGTAGAAATGTACTATACATATATGCTTATATCTCGTCGACTTCCATGAAAAGTATGTCAACTTAATCTTGCAGGAAAGATAGAAGCCGGCCTTCCCAAAGTGTCGTTACCACCCTTTTCGTCGCAAGTGGGAAATCAAACTTATACATTTTTCGACATGTGCGCTCATTACGGATTAGGACTAGGGATACTTCCTGTTATATCCGTCTTGGCGAACGTAGCAATAGCTAAAGCATTTGGTATTGATTTCCATCATTCTTTTAATAAAATTTCAATCGGACAGCAGATTGCCTATAATCACAGTGAAATTAGACTTACTGAAATCATTTCATTATAGTTAACCAAATCTGATTTCATTAAAGTTCCTAAAAAAAACGTAATACATATCTTCAGTTTCGAGGATTTACCTCCTTACAATATGTCGTGCAAATTGAAGAAGAATAAGTGAAGAAAATTGTTCCCTTACGCTCTTCCTTGAATTAGAATCTCGGATTGGACATTGTGCCAAGTGAATAGGTAAAGTCTTGTAATCAAGATTACGTTCTTGCAGCGATGGGCGCCTCTGTTAATGCGACGCAGGAAATGCTAGCCCTCGGTCTCAGCAATATAATCGGCAGCTTCGTGTCATCCCTGCCAACCGCCGGTGCATTTACCCGAAGCGCAGTTAGCAGTGCCAGCGGAATACAAACGCCTATGGCCGGTTTATATTCCGGTAGTGGAGGATCCAATAACATTAATTAATTTGACCGTGCAAATCCCTGTTTAAATTAATGGATAAAATATGATCAGATTACATTAAATTACATGCAATTGCAAGGTAAATTAATAAAACTCTTCTTATGTATTATGTAATCTGATTATATTCTATCTAATATTTTAGGCAGGGATGTCTTCATTGCGTTCGTACACGAGGAAGGCGGGTGACGCTGAACAGGGATCTCTGTATAGAATTATCACATTGCGTCATAATTTATTATTACGCAATACCGTTAATATCTCATGCATAATTAGAGAAATTTACGATTCTAATCTTGGCAAGACAGCACGTAATATGCAATATGACAGTGTGGCATTGTATGATAATACGACAAATATGGTAGCATAAGTGCGCGTGCAAAAGAAGTAACGAAAAATAACATTGATGACATTGCATTTCGCAGGTACTATGGCATTGATGGCGTTAAGCTTTTTAACGCCGTACTTTTATTACATTCCACGCGCAACGCTAGCGGCGGTGTTGATAAGCGCCGTGTTGTTCATGATTGACCTGAAGATCATAAAATTACTCTGGAGAGGAAGTAGTCAGTATTGTGTTCCCACGTGTATGCATAGATTACATGAGAAAGATGGAGTGACGGGCTTACGTAATACATTTCTTTTCTTGCAGAGACGGATGCGATCGCGGCGATAGGGACCTTCGTGCTCTCCGTCGTTATCGGCATCGAAATCGGACTCCTTCTGGGTGTCCTCTTCAACCTGATTCTTTTTATCCGACTGTCCGCGAGAGTGTCGCTTCAAACAATCAACTGCAAGGTAAAATTATATCATATTGTATAATGTACATAAATTATTTTCTCTTTACTAATTTTTATCTAATATACATATATTCTGAAAGATTTTCTCTATACTTACCCACATAGCACGTATAGTACTGCACGCAATATTATAGTAATATCACAGTAATATTACTAATATATCACAGTAATATTAAAATGTCCGCTCAATGAAATATTACCGAGATAATCGTAGTAATATTACTGTGATAATCACAATATTGCTATCACGTAATATTGCAAGGAATTAGATTAGGGTAAACCCGGGTATGATGACCCTACGGAAAAGATGGTCACAGACTGTATAATCTCTTCAATAATTGTTTAATAGTACGTTTATGTAGTCATTCTCAAAGATGATTGCAAGGTTGAGAACGTAATTACCTTAAAAAAGTAACGCGTTACCGTTACCGTTACTTTTTGTAAAAAGTAACTCGTTACCATTACTCGTTACTGATTTTAAAAAATATACGCGTTACCGTTACCGTTACTTAGAAAGTAACGATTCGTTACTGTTTTCGTTACTTTGTTGAAATGCTAAAGTAAGATGTAGATTATAAAATAACATTATTATTATTTAATAATGAATATTAAAGCTTAAGACTTTAAAACTAGTTTCTATATAGCCAGTCATCAAGCATACAGAATCGAGACATCGATAAATGCTTACAGCGCATTCTCATGTGACATTGACTTTCAGCGCCCAATATCGGAATATTTCTGTCTAATCAAGAACAGTGCGCGCGACCAGCGCACGATCTATTGAACAGATATAAAAGATAATAGGGAACTAAAGTAACGATAATAGTAACGATCGTTACCGAAAAAAAGTAACGAAAATGGTAACGGCGTTACAATTAAGTAACGCGTTACTTCCCAACCCTGTTATATCGTCATATTAGAAATTACCCTTGTAATATTTTATCTATACTTCAATGCGATATACATTAGAAAGTGCCAAATAGCAACGCGACATTAAGTGACGTCTTCATGGCATCTTAATGACATAATAAAACATAATAAGACGTAATTAAAAAGTCATTTGACACCATCTTGCACTACTTTGGATCTGATATCCCTTACGGAAAAAACATTCAAGTTTTGAGTGTTAACACTCAAAATATTGCAGCAATATTACTGTTATATTGCTGTGTAATATTTCTTTGTAATATATCAGTAATATTAATGTAATATTACAATGTGTTATATGTATAAATGTATTATATTAGTATAGTATTACTGTAATATTACATTGCAATATGCAGGGTTGGGTAAGTTACCTATTTTTTTAACTAAGTTAAATTCAAGTTAACAGCTTTGAAAATTTAACTTAGTTAAAATACAAGTTAAGTTAATAATGAAAAAAATTAAAAAGTTAAAAGTTAAATTTGTTTTATTTTTATACAAAATCTTAGAGACTCGCGATCATGTAAATTGCTTTGAATTTTACGACCAGCATTTGGACAACCAATCACACTACACAGAATTTCATATGCAAACAAATTCATGCAAGTTCGAGAATCAAAGTACTATATAATGGCTGTGTTAAAAAATTCACTGTCAGCGCTGAAGATCTATATTGCATGTAACGTATACTGTAAATTTTCAGTGCTGGGAGTGAATTTTTGAACACAAGAATTGTTAATATAAACAAACGTGCGGCGTTTCGCGACGCCTTTGTTTATGGCATGGCTAATTTTAAGAAAGGTAAATTAAAAGTTAAAAGTTGCCGATAAAATATAACTAAATGAAGTTAAAAGTTAACAGTTTATAATGTGACTAAGTTAAGTTAAAATTATTTAACTCTTTAACTTAACTTTTATCTTTTTAACTTATAGACACTACCTAACCCTGGCAATATGTAATATTATGTGCTATGTGGGTAACGATTATACATGTACTGTATAATTTCAGGGTTGGGAAGTAACTCGGTTACTTGTAACGAAGTTGCAGTTATAGTTACTTTTTTTGGTAACTCTAATTTAACTTTGTTACTTTCTCTCCATCTGTAACTGTAACTTAACTCACAATCAGATACATGTTTTTCAACAACTAGTAACTAATTTAATAGTTACATTAACAGTTACTCCATATATTTTATTTTAAACCTCCACAGAATGCATTAGGCCTTGCATTTGCGCATAAACGACTTTATCGACGCTTTACAATTTAAATGCAGATTTGATATTTTTATTTTTATTGCAAGAAAGTAACTGCAAAGTAGCGTTACTTTTTGAGTAACTGTAACTGTAACATAGATACTTTTATAAAGTAACTTTCCCAACCCTGTACAATTTATAATGTATTTTGTGAAGGAAGGAAATTATATTAATAAGCTTATTAATTCTTTTCCAGACTCATTTGGGAAATAAATACATAATGTTAAAACCAGATGCTTGTCTGCATTATCCCGCTGTATCTACCTTCTGCAACAAAGTCATGAGTTTAGCTGGGAACGCGGTACCGTTGATCGTCAACTGCGAAAGATTTACCAGTCTCGATTATACTTCAATCAAGGTATCAGCTAGCATTTCTCGAGCGAAGAATTTCTTTTTTCGCCCCGTAAACAACACTGCCTCGTTTGAACTGCGTGTGATTCTCACAGGGTATCGAGACGCTATCAAAAAGATTGAACCGTGATAGAAACCAGTTCTGGCTGTTGCATCTTAATTTCGACGTCGTGAAAAGTTTCAACGTTCTCGCCGACAACGAGTACATTCGTTTGATCGAGAAAAAAGAGAGCATCGCGGATATTCTTTATGGTATACATTTGATAATTGTTAGGAAAATCGAGAACAACGTAGTGAAAATGACAGTCGTTCCTTTTTTCAGACAATGCTTTATCCAATAAAGATTCCGAAGATCCGCTTAATGTCAACGTGAAGAAAGCAACGGAGATGGAAAGGCTGAGTCGCGGAGATCTCTCGTATTCGAATTCGCGACGAAAGGATTCCGAAGTCAACGACGAAGAATTGACCTTAGCGCCGCCCGAATGTCAAATACAACAATAACTACAAACGCGACTGCGTTTCCACTTAATTTAGCCTGTTGATTATAAATGCGAATAATAGTAACCATCCGACGTCAAGTTCTCGAAACAAAAGCGTTTTAGATAGGGCTGTCTACAATTTCAAAATAAAAGCTTTTTTTACATTATTCACAATAGATTTTATCTGACACGCGTATCTAAGGATCGACGTGCGTGCGTGCGTACGCGTTTAAATTTGGCGCAGTTTCCGACTGCCTCGTCACGTGACATTTCCAGAAGGCACTAAAATCGTTCCCTCGTGCGTCCATGCGTGTTGCTTCGCTTGTGTGAGTCATCGGGACGTTACTTATTTTTCTACATCGAACAGCGATTTTCACTATTATTTTCATATTCTACTTACGAAAACACACAATATTAATACTTGTTTCCTTGTAAGTTGAGCCTGTATCCCGCATAATTGGCAACTTTCCGATGACATTTAAGGTTATAGGACATTCATGGTGCTTCCATTCTTATTGATGACTCTCTTCTTGTTTATAGCCTTTAAAACAATGAGTGTAATTACCGAATCCGAGAAGAAACGCTTGCGTTCCTTGAAGGAGAAGAAACAGGCGTTTAAAGCAAAGAGACTAATTATACATCAAGCATTGAGTAACTTGGTGAGTTTACTTGCATTGCAATGTATTCTTTTTACTGATAATTTACACACGCACAATATATTGAGTCCGCGGCTATATTACAATATGTGTATTACTTGTGCAATTATCATTTTTTCAGGATAATACTACAAACAGTAAGAAGATTATATTTGATGACTTTGATGAAGGGCAACCGTTGAAATCGAGGAAGAGAGATTTGTTTGACAGCGATGATGACAACAACGACGAAAAGGATTCCCTATGGAGTGAGAAGGTGTTTAAAGTCAAGAAAAGTAAAAAGGTGAGTTCGTCTGATAGATATTTTTTTACGTTTTACTTCACCTAAAATAACAGTACTAGTACAATTCATTAATTTATACAGGTCACTCTTGGCAACGACGCACGTTTCACTTTAGATGACCGTTTCATGGAAGACAATTGCGACAATGAGGAAAGTAAAGTTGTTAATGGAACCAGTGAGTGTGAGTTGCAGAAGGAGAAGGAAAGACAGCTGGATATCTTAGAAGGCATTTTAGGAATGCCGCTTACTGTAAAAAGTCAGGAGAACCAGCCTGTTAAGTAAGAGTATTTAGAATATTTAGATGAACCAAGAACTTGCAATTGTCACTTTAGACATTTAATGACAACATTTACAGGAAGGGATTGATGATACGATATGATCCGACTGAAAATGGACATTGTGAATATGAAATAAAACCTGCACAACCGGAAACTAAGGAGAAGAATAGTAGAAAAAAGAAGAGCGATAAGTCAGTGTCAGAAATTGGAGAGCCTGCACCACCTGAACCAGAAGTGTCACAGGATATTTATTATACAGTGTCTGATGTCCTAACAGAAAGTTTGAAGCAAAAAGAAGAATTTAGTTTGTTAAAAACACATGGAAAGGAAACAGATGACACAGGTGATTATTGAAAAATAATATCACATTTTTATATCTGATTTATATTGTTTCACTACATAGTTCCTTAATTCACTTCTATTTTTCAGAAAGTACTAGGCGTAACAATACTTTTATTGTGGAAAATAACAAAGCCCAAAAATTCAAGTTTAATTTTAACGCAAATAACGCTTTTAAATATGATTCTTCGGATGATGAAGATATACATAAAGTACCAGACATAGATGATGAAATGGTGGACGAAGCTAAAGAAGATACTCAACAAAAGAGCCTATTTGGCCACAAAGATACTCTATTTCTTGATAACAATGACGTACGATTTAACGGTACGTACATGAAACGATCGTGAAATTGGAATATTATTTATGCACATATTATAAAGATATATTTTCAGAGGCTATAAAGTTCTTCAGTACAGAAGCTGCGACTAATGGTGAATTTAATAATTTAAGACGCGAGTTAAAAACAATTGTACGTATGAAAATTCGTAATAACGAAAGAAGACATCAGCCGTATGGTAAAAAGAGGAAAATTAAAAAATTTCAATAAATATTGTCCTATTGTTTTTTCACATTTATATTTGTAAAAATGTAAATGATAAATATAAAATTATGTAATATTGTAGATGTAGATATATCATTCCACAATACACTAGGATATTAGCGAAATATTAGAGGTATTTTACTTCATTTTATTCAAACTTTTAAATTCATAACGGTAAGGTACATTGATACTTTAGTTTGTTTCTTCAACATAGACGATGCTTTCATGATGACCTGCGATAAAGCTGTCCTAATAAATTCGAGAAAAGATTGTGCGGAAGTCCACATGAAGTTTGCTGTATGTGTATATTTATTTCATTATGCATTTCTTCTTCAAATTTAGTATAAAGGTCCAACAGGTTTAAGTCAGTGAAGAGCTGTTTTACACGTTTTATTTTTTCCGGATCCGAAACTCCGTAACACTCCTGAGGGATAAAAAAAAAGAGAAAGAATTAATGCAACTGCGTTTGATGAAACAGTGCGTGTAGAAAACGATACTTGCTTCTAATATTTTGCGTTGTTCCGGAGTTGCAAGCTGAAGAGCTTTAACAACAAACCATGTGCATTTCCCTTCCGGGATATCAGTATCATCTTTACCACGGGTTGCGGAATCCCCAAAGCAACTAACATAATCATCTTGGATTTGGAAAAAGCGTCCTATCTCTAACAAGATGGATGTTGCTTGCTTGAACATTTCTGGATCTTTTATTCCAGCCTACATCGAGTAACATCTCGTACCATATTAGTCATTAAAGTAAAACAATCTTTTTGTATAAGGAAATATAAGGAAATTGAGATATGCTTACAAAACGCATTGCTACAGTTACAGGCAAAACGTACGTACAATAAGCCGTTTTGCCCTCGGCAATAACATTGTATCGATCCATCGTAAATAGATCTAAATTGGGCTCTTTGCCGAAGTTAGACGAATATAAATCTAAAGATTCACCTATTGATGTCTTAAATGTTATCTGCCAAAATACACTTATAAATAATTAATTAAAAAGGAAATAAGACATTTATATTCATATATGGTTGAAAAGAAGGTAAATTTTTACTCACATCCTGGAATATTTCCAGTAAATCGACATAGCATTCTCTCCCGCTGAAGTATTTCTTAATTATATAATATATTGTACTCTCTAATAGAACACCATCCGTAATCGCCGCTTCACCAATATCATTATGTCGATACCAACATGGTTTACCTCGGCGAAATAACGATTGGTCCATTAGATCATCCATTATTTGTAAAAAGCTTAGAAGCTACAACAAGAAATGATATGATATTATAATGTATAACGACCAGGATTGGGTAGTGTCTAGTTAGAAAGATAAAAGTTAAGTTAAATAATTTTGTTACATTATAGATTATTAACTTTTAACTGAATTTAGTTTTATTTTATCGGCAACTTTTAACTTTTAATTTACCTCTCTTAGGTCCAGTTTTTCATTTTCTGGTCAACTGTTAACCAGAAGTTAGTCGACTCTCCATCTTTTCTATGTTGTTATCTGAGAAGAGACAGGGACTACAGGGAGTCGACTAACCTCTGGTTAACAATTAATCGGAAAATG